AAAATTACGTTACTGACGAATGGTCAGGCTGCTAATCAAGTTGCGAAATGGCGTTATCCTTAGTCATTTTGAAGACGTTGTTGGAATGGTTAAGTTGCTCTTTGCTACTTCAATACGCATCCATTCGCACTATTTCACAAATTCTTGTTAATTGCGAACTCAGGATAATTAGATGTAAAAAGCCTCTGACGAAAAGTTATCACCAGGAACCGTAAGTAAGTCATCAAATTAAACTAAGAAAAGTAGCTTTGCAATCTTTTCCCCACTTATACCTGGGGCAAGAGAACATGTGTCTGTCTTTCCATAGACATGCTCAAGCGCCAATTTTACTGCCAAGCATGATATAAGATCTATGCAGGCATAATAGAGGCATTGCAGCGTCATTTTACATATTAAAGTAATGGGACAAAAAGTGGCTTTTATTATTTCAGAACTTCAACTGCTTAGGTTGTTTAAAACTTTGAGGAAAATCAATCCATTGCTAATGAGCTATTCAATAATTTAATAGGCTTCAAGTCACGACTTTTTAACATGTATAGAGTAAAAACAATAAAAAATCGGTACCTTCTTTGGTTTCCAAATAGAATATCAAAAGTGTTGTTACCGCAATAGAGCCCGAGGGTCAGTGTTTCATTTTGATCTGCTGATGCCGCAGTTCTATATTCAACAAAGAAACCAGCATTTTCAGTCTGTAACCAAAAGCAAATGGTGAATCCCCCTTTCGCCGGCACAATGTCTGAGAATGATACATAGCCACGACTGCTGTCAGTGAAGTGGATCTCGTAGTTTCCATCGCCAATTATTCCTAAAGCAGAAAAAAATACCGCAAATTATTATCCAACTACACCTAGACAAGTACAAATAACGCCACAGACGAGTAAAAATATCACGCGGGATTTGTACTTGTCTATTGAAGTACCGGTTAAACAGGTTTTCTCGCATCGCGCAAGCGAAGAATTGGATTGTAGTTACAAAAAAAAAAAAAAAGTGGCGGACAATTTGAATCATATTTCCGACGACGAAGAGTCAGAATGGCTGGCAAATATAGATTCAGGTTCATTTGATAAATCGAACGAAGAAAAACAGCTTGACGACCAGAAATTTTCTTCATTCAATGAAGGAAATAGAAACAGCAACACAACAACGCGCCAATTCCGTTCCGCTTCGCATACTTCTGCCACGCACTCCCCGTAAATAAATATCTGCGAAATTCGTCCGCACTGAAATAACAGTTTGGGGTGTTGGATAATGAATAACTTATTAGACGTTTTGTTGTGTAGTATCGCTGAGTATTTTTACTCGTTATTTGTATTTTGACTCGCCCTACGGGCTCGTCAAAATACGGCACAACTCATAAAAATACTCAGCGATACTACACAACAAAACGTCTAATAAGATATATATATATATATATATATATATATATATAT